AGCAACGCTGGAAGATAAATCTGGACCTTCTCAACCCTCAAACATGTTCTAGAACTCACTGGAACATTACACAATGACAAATTAATGCATGAATGGGAAAACAAATTTTAAATAAAGAAAAAGGTATACACAGCGAAAGTACCCCTGCCACCGAGAATTTACCAAAAGGGTATCCCTTTTCAAGTGGTTCATAAATTATCTTGTTAATTAAATTGTGTGAAATCCACTTCATAATGCATACATATCTGAAAAAAAGTACAATCAATTGCAAACAAAACACAAAGATACAGAAATTAACACAACAGACCTGATCATTTTCTTCCTGTGCAGGTGATGAAGATTTCTCTGAACCCGCTGGCTTGTCTGCTCCGCAATTTTGTCTATTGCACTTGTTTCGGAATGGATAATTTATGTTGTTACATTTCTCGCACTTCCAGCTACCCTCTGGCGTCTTTTGCTCTGGAAGGCATCATAGACATGTACATTAGGAATCATTTAGTCTTAAGAAATTCGAAAAGGAAACGGCTTCTAGAGGAACAGGTCCATGTATTCAACTTACTAGTAGTTTTGTCATTTTTGGAACCCTGCATTTAAAAAATATATGAACAAAATAAAATGAAAAGGTTAGACCAGAAATATGTGAAGGGATACTCAACGTTCACAAGCCTTCGAAAACAAAAGGTTTGCCAATAGTATTAGTAACTAGTGGCATCATAAAAGCATACAGGAAAATCATACATTTATGAGAAAATAGCTTAACAGACCTGTGACCCGGGCTTAGGAGTATTGCACTTTCTCATGTTACAGACAGTTCTAAATGAGAAGTTGATATTTCCACATTTTGGGCATGCCCAATCATTGTCGCGAGTAGCATCTATAGGTAAGCATAAGTAAGAAGTTAGATGATAAAAATTTTCCATCATCATTGGTCATAGGCAGAAGATAACAAGCAAGTACATCAAAGGCAGCAGATACAAGCAAGTAAAGAATAGCAACCTGCACCCTTCTTCTGAGACATATCATCTGGAAAAAAACCTGGCCTTGGACCCTGTGAAATATACTTGCTCATAAATTTTATATAAATGGTGAAATGGACAGAACAGAAATGTGAAAACTCAAATCAATCAAGAACAACACTACATAAAAAAAGAATAGAAACTACCTTAAGATAGATTCATCGAAAACCTACATATTTGAAATTCTGTGGGAGTAAGCTTTTATTCTTTGTCCACAAAAACGTTTTGTTGCTATCCTGCCTTAATATCCATTCCGATGGGCAAACATTTCTCTAGAACATTCAATCATAACTATCTTTGTAATACATTTGTTAGTGTATTATTATAACAGATTTTGAAAATCAAGGTGAATATGGCAATGTGATATGATGAAATCCTTTATTTAATTTCTTATCTTCCATAAACCAAAAAGATTTAACGATTCCCTTTCTCAATATTTCCATGGAAACTTATCATCGTCAATATCTCTATGGATGTTGAATATTGTTGTTTGAGGGGAGATTATAGCTAAAAGCACACCAAACTTAAAACTCCGGAAAAAAAGGCTGTTGAGCCACCGGGTAATAGTTGACTATCAAATGACCTACCAGGGTGCCAGGGCCCATTGGCAAAGCCATGCCATAGCGATCCATTATGGGAGGCATACCATACACTGCACCTATGAAAACAAGGAAACAAAATAAATAGATAAATAATAGATCGATCACCACAGCACAGACTTCTCATAGAGTACTTGTGGAAGACATGAAAAATGAAGTTCAACATAGACCGAACAATATGATGTAATAAATAAGAACCACGAACAAATGTGAGCATATAATGTCTAATAGTTGTTCTTTTGGAATGGAGACCATTTTTGTAGATTTGTGTACCTCTTGTGTGGGATGTCTTTTTCTATGCCCTTCTCAATGAAAGTTCGGTTCCTTATTAAAAAAATCACAAACAAATGTGAGCAAAGAAGAAATGGAACATACTATTTCCCATCATAGATCCACTTGAATAAGGTGGAGGCCCAGATAGGTGCAAGGGTCTATAGGGACTGCCTGCAGAAAACCGGCTGCCGTAGTTGTAATGATATGCTGATCCCCCAGAAAATGGCACATCATAGGGAGGTATAGATGAACCGTTGAATATGGAAGAACCATATGGTGGTACACCAGGATACATTGAAGAGGGTACACCTGAACCCATGTAAGGGGCAGAATAAGAGTAACCCTGAAGTGCTTGAACGGGCTTGGCAGCAGATTTCTGGAGAGAGAGAAAGCTCAAGTAAGGCTGTTTGTTCATCAAGAAAACTTGAATAAAGTCCAACTTGAATAAACTTGGCAGCAGAGTTCAACTTTGTGTGATTGGTGGTAATGTGGAGGGTTAATAGACGAACTTTTCTTAATGAAAGAAACGTATAAGAGGTGTCGAGACTGGCGAAGTGATGTTACATGTAACTTGAAAAAATGAACACAAAATCATAATACAAGTGCTCTTGGAGAGAGTACACCAAGAAGAACCTAAACCTAAAAAATTGAATAAAGTCCAACTTCATGAAGCTAAAGTAGTGAATAATCAGTTGTGACTCGAGAAAATGCATATCCTAAACCATAATTACAAAAATTTCTTGAATGCAATACATAATTACAACCTAAAAATGCAAAACAGAAACAATAGAACTCCAGATAAGCTGCCAAAAATAAAAAGTAAATGAAAGATGATAAGAACACTTGAAATAAAATGTTCCTTCACAAAAGACAACTAAAAGGAATAAAATGTGTGCACATTTTAGTTACAGATTGTGCATAAAAAAATTGATGAACGCATCCTCTGCCATGTATGCAGTACGTGACTGAGTGCATATAAAACACAGCGCTAAGATAAACAGAGAGAGGACGCACAATAAAGTTTCATCTCGATTATTAACTCCAAGAGTAGACAAAAATGGGTTTTGCAAATCAAAAACACGACAATTCAAGTTTCCTTAGAGGCTCATTCATGTCTTACAGAGTTATGATCAGCAGGACGTGGCTGAGTGCAATTACGCATATTGCAAGTTGTTCTAAACGAAAAATTGACGTTTCCACAACTAGGACAAGTCCAATCATCTTCCCTTCGACTACCTACAAACAAATAAACAAATAAACAGATCTAGGACAGTAAAAATTTAAAATAATAATAATGAGACAGACAGAGACAGACAGAGAGGAGAAAAAGAAGCCCCTAATCAACGGCAAATAATGCCGAATACTGGAAATCTCTCAAGACTCTGATATCGATAAAGTTAACTTCAATTATTGGTAGACCTCATGCATTCACTCAAAAGAGCTTATAATAATTAAATTTGCAAAGGCAACGTAGTTGTGAAAGCGTGCATGAGCAAATATGAAGCCATAACTAAATTACAAAGGAAAGAGTGGCGCCAATACATACCATCAGTTCTAGCACGTTTGGCTGCAGATGAATTCCTGCTATCAACCTGTATAAGACAGAGGAAACAAAAAGATAGAAGAATAAATAAATCATTTCACAACTAATGGATGCATCTGTTCAAAACGAGGAGAACTAATGTGAGCATCTCAAACTCAAATTCTCCAGAAGTATCTCGAAATTTCTGCTCGAATTCGAAACATAGCAGTCGTACGGAATAACAAAAAAAAATGCACAAATAGATCAAACAGAAGCTAAGCATCATCCAAACTGTTGAAAATTGGCCAATTTCATTCTAATTCCATATCTTAAGGAATAACGCACTGCAATTAAGCTTCCAATCATCGACATCAAATAATTAACAAAGATTTAATAGGGCTTAAGGAAGCAATGCCTCAAGATCTTACAGAAAATAAAGCAACAAACAATTAACGAGACAAAGAAGTGAGTGAACGGACCTGCGACATATTGCGACCTATCAGAAAGGCGAGGACGGGGTGATCTTGTTCTTGGACTCGGAATAGCTGCGTGAATCTTTTTTTTTTTTTTTCAGTCGGGAAGAAAGATGTTCGTCGGGTGGGAAGGAGTACGAACACCGTGTGTAGCTAGAATGGGCACACGTTTCGTTAGGCTTTTATATAGAAAGGATAAGTGGGCCTTCTTCCGGCCCAATTCGTTACTCCTCTCTTTGTTTTTACTTTTTTGGAAATTTCGTTACCCCAAAAGATTTTAGCTGTTAACGTTTTTATGGTTTTTTCTTTTTCTTTTTTCTTTTTTTTTTCAGTTTTTTTGGTCTTTTATCTTTTCATTTATTTATCTATTTTTACTTTTTTTTTTATTAAAATAATAAATTTCCCATTTATTTTAACCGATTATGATTTAATTGTTCTTTCTTTTAAGATGTAAACTATTTAACAGCTTAATGTTTAAATATTTATATTCACGTCTCTTGAACTAATGTTAAAAAAATATCAATATTTCAATTTGTAAATATTAAACGCATGCATATATCTTCCTAAATTAATAGTAATAAAAAAATTTAAAATATATTTTAAATTTTTTAAAAGTCTTAAAAAAAATACCTTTAAATTAAAAAAAAAATCAATAATACTTTACCACCCTCAATACTTTTTTCAAAATGTTTAATTATTACTTCAAAACTTTTTTAATAACTCGAAAGCCACTATTAAACTTTTTTTAAATAAATAAAATATACATTTATTAGTATTACTTTTTAAAATACTCATGAATTTTTTTTAGTCTAATTAAAATATTTTGAGTATTTTTTTAGTAAAATTAAAATATTTTTTAAATGATTTTTTAATAAATTTAATTTTTGAATCTATAAAATTTGAAATATCAAACATTTATGGTAATTACATATTATTTTACAAATATTCAATATTTTTAATATTTTAAAAATTACCATATATTCATGTCGTACATTCTTACCACTTGTAAAATAATACTATTGCGTCTTATATTGGGGTATAGTTCAATCGGTTAAGTTGACCCAATGAAAAAAATGTCAAACTCCAAAATTAAATAATAATAAAAAAAGTCAAAAAGTCAAACCCAACTTGGTCGGTGGTGAGAAGAGATGGATTTCCCTGTAAGAGCTTCTCATCTTCATTCTTCAGAAAATAAATGAAACAAACCGAAACAGACTTAAAATTTAAACATTTTGTTCTCAAATATCAACAAAACAAAACCAAAAACCAAATAAAAACAACACTCCAACACTCCACTTTATCCCATAAGAACCGCCACCCTAACAATATAGTTTTATCCTTCATACGTGATGATCGGCGGAAGGAATGCTGTGAAAACGATGACCGCCACGGCCACCGCCAACAGACCGGCGGGAGAATTGGCTACCATCCTAGTTCCGGAACTTCCGCCGGGACTCGTCCTCGTCGTCGTCGCCGCCGGTGTTGCTGGTGTCGTGATATTGCTAAAAATAGCAGCGTCGGGTGAATTTGCTGGTAAACCCAGAAGCTCTGAAAAATAAAATAAATAACTTTTAAAATGATATTTATTAAACTATCTTTAAAAAATGGTCGATTATTCCTAATTTCACCTGACATTTTTTTTAATTTATAATTTAACGAAAAAAAAAAAAAAAAAAAAAACCTCAATTTTCGAATCCCCATCTTTAAATTTTAAATTTTTGGAAAAAGTAATTACTCATTCCAAAATTATGACTAAGGGAGTTAGTTAGGTTGGATGGTAAAAAATAAACTGAAAATAATTTTTTATTCGTGAAAATGAAAAAATTAACATCCCTTTTATAACGTTTTTGTATCTGTTTGTTATGCTCTTTAATATACTCCAAGAAAACGTGGAAATAAACTTCCATTTTAAAATATAAAAAATTGTTTTTTTTTTATTTTTTTATTTTATATCTTCTTAGACTATTTTTGAAGACTAAATTAATAAAAACAACTCCAACTTTCTTTTAGTCTTAAAAATATATTTTCACTTTACAAAAATTCAATAATAATCTTAAATTTTTAAGAAAATAACAAATTCAAAACTAAATTTAAACTTTTAAGAAATAACAAATTGTTACGGATATTATTAATACTTCATTTTTTAAAAAATAATTTTTAAATTAGGTTTCAACCAAAATATATATAAACTAATATCAAAAGAAGATAAAGGGTGTTAAATGTTATTATTAAATTTTAAAAATTTAAAAATTAATTTTATTAATTTAGCCCATGGTGATAATAATAATAATAATAAACATGAAACCTACGGAAAGCTTAATTTTGTTTAAGAATTAAAAATTGGCGATTTAAATTTTAGGGAGGAGGAGTGTTACTAGGGCAATAGCTGACGCTGGAGTTCTTCAACTGACACACAGAAGGGAGCTGAAGAAGCTTGGTCTCTAGAATGCCCATACTCTTGATCTGCTGGTTCCCGTTATGCGTCTGCTGTATGAAGAAACACAGGCACTTCGGCTTCCTCTCTTTTATGCTCTCTATCGAGTCACAGCATTCCTTGCTCGGCGCAGCCGCCTTCCCCGTCGCGAATTCGAAGCAGCTCACCACCTGCTGGAAGTCATTGCTGCACTCCTCCTTCAGGTTCTCTTCTTCTGCCCCAACCAAACACAGCCCCACCAACAACAACAACAACACAACGACGCCGTTTCCACCTTTCATCATCTTCTTCTTCTTCCTCTTCTTTCGCCGCCTGCAAACTACTACAACAAAAGCCTTCACTTCTCTCTCTCTCCTTGGGTTCTTATAAAGAAAGGAGAGGGAATATCCTCCAATTAATGCCACGTCAGCGCCCCTGTATTTGATCCGACGGTTGAGATGCTGGGGGTTGAAATTTCGGGCTCATTTATGGAGTAGTTGGCCTCGACTTAAATTGCCCGTTCCGGTAGCTTTCTCCTCAAGAGTGAGGGAAGTTATTGCGCCTCTACTGGGACCGAACCGCGTGTCTGCTCTTCGTACACGTGTCCCTCTCCTTTTGCATGCGAGAGACTTTACAGGTGTGGGACCGTTATATATCAACGGCTGAGATCCTCCCCAACCTTTTTATTATTATTATTATTATTATTATTTTTTATTGCCCAGTCGGGCTGTGGCGGCCGGCAGCTGGAGGTTTCATGTAATGGGATTGGTTGGCGGGCCAACGGCCACGTCCAAAATCCCTTTCTTTGTGCTTAGAATTTAATGATTTTAATGTTATTATAATTAAATTAAGTAATAAAATAAGGGAATATGTTTGGAATAAGACTCTGAAATTACTTTATGTACAGTTAAAGTGTGATTTTAAATAACATTAAAATCCCTTGTAGATTGATGGTAATGACTCAATTATTTAAAAAAATAAATATTTTTAAAATATAAAAAACTAAAATACAAATTTTAGGACTAAAATATATATTAAAAAGTTTAAATTGTGGAGTGGTAAGTTCAGCATATTTCAAAAAAAGTAAAATATATATATATATATATATATATAGAAACGGGCTTGAACCCAAACTGGTGGCCCAGTTGGCCCAGTTGGCCCAATATTGGAGAGTGGTGCGGGCGCCCACGTGGCTCCACGATCCAAAAGACGTTAAGAAATCCCTCATATTCCCGACATCATCAACGCAATTAAGATTATCAAATTTTTAATTATTCATTATAATGCATACACAAATTCAAAGTTTTTATTTAAATATTAAAATATCTATTAGTTTATGCACTTAAAAGATATGGCTGTTTTAGTCTTGTTCGTTTCATTGTTTAATAAATAAATAATATAACATATATATCCAAAAAAAAATATAGGAAGAAATTAAAAAAAAAAAAAAAAAAAAGTGGTGAAATATTTGTCCATTAATTTAGGTATTTATAATAATTTTTTAATATTTATAATTTTTCCATAAATATCTTTATNATCAATATTTCATCTAAAGTCGAGATATCAATATTAACAACTTTTAATTAATAAAAATTTTGTTATGAATAAATTTAGATAAAAATAAATTCACATTAAAATTTTGAATTTAGTAACTAGAGAGTTATTTACCATTGAAAATTATTAATTTATTTGAATGAAGGGTATTTTATAAGAAGTTAATTAATTAAGATATTTTTTTTCAATGGCAGGTAGTTTCTTTAATGAATATCATATTTCAAATTATTTTGGAATAAGAGTAAATTGGATATATTAAAAAGGAAAAACACAGCGATTAGTTGGTATTAATTGAGATTAATTTATAGTAAATGTAAAATTAGACATGTGGATGGCTTTGGTATAAACAAGGACCAAATGCGTACACGTGGTGACCGCTAAGTGGACAAAGAATTTTGAATGGACCCCACAATGGCAAAGAGCATCCAATCATCACGTGAGTCAGCAAAACGTTGAATCGAGAGCCTATTTTACCAAAGAACCGGTCAACGATCGTTTGCTGAAGGGAAAGACGGTCCTCACAAGGAGGGTATTGATGTCATTTCGAGCACCGTTCTCTCGATACCCATCTCTCTATCCCTTTAAACGAACCGATCGCCCCCAAGAGAGGCGTTAACGACGACAGAAGAATTCTTCGATTTCTTCATTTCGAAGAGTTGATAGAATTTTTATCAACTGATAATGAAGAATCGATTTTCCGCGACGCCATGGATTCTCGGATTAGCCATCGCCGGCTTAATTGCCGGTTCACTGATGATTTCTGGATACATAGGATTTGTGGACAGTAACTTATTCTGTTCCATCTCCGGCATCAGAGCACCGACAATAACCGGATATTCAGCGGCGGAAATCCAGCTTCAGTCGATAATCCACTACGCGACGTCGAAGATTGTTCCGCAGCAATCGTTTGACGAGATCAGTATCTCATTCGACGTATTGAAGACTCGATGTCCCTGCAATTTTCTGGTGTTCGGGCTGGGCCACGATTCGTTGATGTGGGCGTCGCTCAACCCTCTCGGAACCACAATTTTTCTCGAGGAGGATCCGAAATGGGTTCAGACGGTTCTGAAAGACGCTCCGATGCTTCGAGCCTATCACGTCCAGTACCGGACGCAGCTTCAAGAAGCGGATCGCCTGCTCTCCACGTATAAATCGGAGCCGTACTGCTCGCCTTCGAAGGCGTTTCTTAAGGGCAATGAAAAGTGTAAGTTAGCGCTTCACAACCTTCCAGAAGAGATTTATGAGAAGGAATGGGACCTGATAATGATCGATGCGCCGAGGGGCTATTTTGCTGAGGCTCCTGGCCGGATGGCTGCTATATTTTCCGCCGCTGTAATGGCTAGAAATCGGAAAGGATCCGGCGTCACCGACGTGTTTCTGCACGATATTGACCGGAAAGTGGAAAGAACCTTCGCGCAGGAGTTTTTGTGCAAGAACAAGTATTACGTCAATGGAGTCGGAAGGTTATGGCACTTTAAGATTCCTCCGGCCGCTAACATGAGCAGCGCCGACCGCATTTCCGATCGATTTTGTTAGATCAAGAGGGTTTATTCGCCGGAGATTTGTCATTTCTGGAATATTTTTTTTTGTCTACAGATAGTTATCGGTCTACTGACCGGCGGTAAATGAGTTGTAGGGAATATTTTCTCAATAAAACCCGCCGGAGTCGGATCTCAGCGGGCGAATACACTGCTCACGAACAATTCGGCCGTCTTCTTCGGCTGTGTTTTCGGACGAAGGAAAAGTAAAAGGTTTCATTCAATCAACTTTTAATTGACTTTTTGTTTCTTTTTTCCTCTTTCTGTGTTCTCTTTTTCATCCTGTCGCTCCCACTCAGATGGTATTGTTCAGTTAAATTCCCATTTTCGGGTCATTACGTTTCTTTTAAGAACACAATTAGCGTTTTTGTCTGCCATAATTATGATTTTGCTTTGATTAGCGGGAGGATCTTTGAGATGATGATGACATTTTAAGCCTAATGCCCTAATTAATTAATCCAAATTAGACGAAACTTCAACAGCTTCTAAAAAGCCCACTTGAATCAGAATTGAATTCTCTGGGAAAAAGAGTTCATGAACATTCTCTTGAAGGCAATAGAAAGTTAAAGGCCCATAAATGACCATACAACAAACTGTAGAATAAAGCAAAAGCAAAATAATGTTAGATATTTGTGGCAATAAAATCCATAAAATTCAATGAATTTGAAATTTGCACCAAACGTTCAAATTGGAAGAAAAAGAAGGGTACACATAAAAGACAAGATGGTGTGTTTGTCTGGTGCTGTGGTAACCAAATGCTTTATTCAAAATTTTGAAACGAAGGCTTATCAACAACAGGCTAGCAAACAAGGCAAAGTGGGGAGCGACTAAGGGTGTAATATATTAAACACGATAAAGGGTAGTTGGGTTTGGATATTTTTAAGTATAAGATGGAAGTCAGAGAGATTAAGAAAAAATTAAGTGAAATTAGAGAGCTTTTAAGTGGAATAATCAAGGTTTCTAAAGGATAAGAGTGATTACATTACATGGAGTTGTACAAGTAGTGAACCCTAATTCTATAGAAAGTATTTCATACGGTCATCTCTCTTCATTGCGTTGTACACGGCTTGAACCTGGAACGGGAAAGCACAAAAAATCATTTTAGATTTTTTTACAAAATTTTCTTCAATCTTCGAACTTCTTTATTCTAAATCATGCCACAGTTGAATCCGAACTTAGATTTTAATAGCAACAGTTGAATCTAGGACAAGATTAAAAAAGAGGGTACATGGGTGGGAGATTCGAACTTCTTACATTTTGAATCAAAGATATATACCTTAACCAAATGAGATAGTTTATTAATTGTGAGTATGGTCGACCAAATCAAGAAGCACTGTAACCAATCGTGTTTGTGTTGGGGGTGGAGGACATGCTATGCTAACAAACTGTAAGGCATCATTGATGAACAAATTAATAAGAGAGAAAAGAGAGGCACCTGCTCACTGGAAATTACTTGAACTGGTCCTATGTTTACTGAGACGTACTTCCCTTTTGCCGATAATTTATGCCTCACCTTGCCCTGTACATGGACATGGACATTATTTTTTTTTAGCAAGCCAATCAAATACAGGAACAAATCTCCATACTATCATCCCATTGAATCGGAGCCAATCCATTTATCTATGATTGAAAATTCATTCCCAAATAACGACTTGTTGCAGATTTTTGGAGACTATTAATAAACCAGAGATGGAAAATTCTCTGTATATGATTTCATGAAAGAATTGAATATTGATGCCTATATATAAGCAATGTACAGAAATTACTGAAAACAAAGGAACTAACAATAACAAAATAAACCCCTACGCGTAAAAATTAACCTGCAGGGTAAAGATGGTGGGGGCTAATAGAACTTCATTGATTTCAAGGACAAAATAGAGTAGGTCCACTTTTTTAACGCTTCAACCATCAATATTCGCAGGGATCTACCTCGTTCCCCTAATGGAAATTTGGAGTTTTGCCGTCAGCATTTTGTTATCCTACTACATCAAGCACATACTTCTACTGTCTGATTTAGCAGTAACCCCCTGACACAGTTCACTCGCCAGAGAAATTGTGTTTGCAAAAAACTAAATGTTCAATTTCTTTCATATAATTCCTCCTCACTCCCCCCTTCTAATGATCCATTTGAGATATATAGACACTGTGTTTCTAATTCTTCAATGAAAAACCATAATGGTGTGTTCACGAAGATTACGTTAAATCACCGAAAGATAATCTGTTACTTCGTCGGCCCTTGCCGCCTGCAAGAGACTTGGTGGCAACAACCCCACGTGCCGCTTGATTACCCAAAGAACAATAGGAGGTTATTTTTTATCAGAATAAATTAAATTGATTGCCTCTGAGCAGCGCTCTATTCCTTTCGTCAAGAATCTTCCTAGTTCGTGCTAGTTTAGACTTATGAAAAAAATCTAATCATGTTAAACCTTTGCAACCAAATGAAGTAGTGGGTCTCTTTGTCACACACTAGTTACTTGGATTAGCTTTTACATACGTTCCCTCGTTCCTCCTATTCTGTCAATTTTCCTATAATTAAGTGAATGCAATGCACAAAGGGCAGCCGTCGAAGAGGAAAATAAAGAAAAGAAAAGAAACAGATCTTGAAAGTCGTACAAAGAGCAGAAAAAAGAGTAGTTGCGAGAAGGAGAGTAAAGAGCTTGATGATGAAGAAACAAAAAGCAAATCATCCTAAAACTCTTCCATTACACATTTATCAACTTCTATCAGCATCTGAAAGATTCTCCTATTCTTTTTGCAACGAAGTCTTCTAAAAGAAACCTCTAAAAGCATTACGCAGTAATATTCAACCTTATCTTTGAAAGGACTGGCATGCAATCATAGAGAAAAGAAGCCTGCTACAAACATTAAACAGACTCCAAAAAATATATTGCGAAATTAATTCTGTTTAATTTCATTTATATCTTTTATAATATTGATTGTATATTATGTATATATTCCTTCTGTATATTTGTAATATTTCTTTCCTTCTTGATTGATGGTCTTTTTTTCTATATAAGAAGGCCTTGTATTTGTTTTAGATGAATAAGAAGAAATACAATAATATTATTATTCTTCTTCTCTAAACTATATGGAAAGGTTATCAACAATTTCCTTTATCTTTTCTACATGATAAGATAAAATTAAAGGGATTCATGAGGCTGCTCAAATTAAAGGGATTCACACACTGATTCATTATGTATCCCAAAAAAGAATAGTCTTAAAACCTTTAACTTTCTAGGAGAAGTCAGTTCTCCAAATAGCAGTAAAAAACATCCTCGAATTCTCCCCTTTCCCATTCACAATCCAACGAGTCAATGAAAAAAAGTACCATCCAACCACACAAAAGAGAAATCCACTCCTGAATCTCTAAACTAACAAAACTTAATGTCATTCCCGCACTCAGAAATAGTTTTATAAGGGGATTGGAGAAGCTCACACGAAGGTATCAGCCATCAGATCTCTCATGAATCCTTGCAAAATTTGAAATTTGAAAGAAATGGCAATTGTTGGGCCTTAATTTCACCTAATTAATATTTGGTACTTGAGCAGTGTGGTTGTGAAGCATAAAATAACTGATACAACAGTTTTGAATTTTCTAAACTAAACCTACAATGATGAAGCTACACCTAGATCCAGTGTACTTAACTCCAAAGAAGAGAGCAGTTCACCTATGATGACTCATCTCGATAAATTGATTGTATGCCCGAATGGATGTTGAAAGAATTTGATGCCCTTGAATAAATTGGAGGTTTTAACGAACCAATCTTCGAGAAAAATCTAATAAAATCTCCTAACCACAAAGCCACCAAGAATACCAACTTAATTCCCTTGTACAAAGAATCTAACTAAAATAATCGATCGCCAATAAGAGAGAAGGGAAAAGGAAAGGTATGATGCGACAAGATAGACAAGCACCCAAACATCTAATCTTCTATGAGCACAGCTGAGAAATTGGCAGTAAATACTAGCACCCAAAAGAATCCAAGATATCTATTTTTTGCCAAAGCCACCATGCAATACCTTGACATAAGCCTTCTCAATAACAAGTCTTTGCTCTAGGCCCTTCTTTTTGGTTTCTTAAACAACTGCCTACAACCTCATATGGCATAAACTTGAGGAATTATGTACTCTACTTCAATAGGGACGTGGTCTTACCATAAATACCAACAATTTCCAATCTAAAATAAGATTAAAAAAAATTAAATCACCACTTAGACTCCCTCTCTTTCTTGGTGTAAACTTCACTTTGTTGTGTGTGAGTAACGGTTTCATGGATAAGATGAATGGGGAGGAAAGACAAGACCCACGCCTTCCAATTGTCAGAAAGTCATGTAAACCGTTTATGTCAAAGAATCAAACCATTTATTCTAAAAAAAGAGCTACAAAAATATAATGGTCCACAAAGCTCCTAGAGGTTTTTTGTTGTTGAAGTCCGAAGATCCTACTGTTTCTTTCAAGCCAGAGCCAAACCAAGCTCTTATAATTTGAAGTACAAGAGCTTTCTTTGTGTAAACTAGTTGCAGTTTTCAACAATTGCAGAATTAAAAATCCAATTAGATTAGGTTACGTCTTCCAATTTAGATTATCAGGTCATTTTGTGCAAGATTTTATACCTGAAATTAATCAGAAAGACTATGTTTCCCACTATCTTGCCTAATTTCGTCAATAACTGCACTGTTCCCAAACCAGCTGTCCCCAAACTAGCAAGAAAAAGACTGTTCGAGTGCTTTTCTTAAGCAAAAATGCTAGGCATGAATTTCAATTTCTTAGAAATTCCACATATATAAGGCATCATATAATGAGACATCTGCGGAATAGAGTGAATGATAGATTTTGTAATTTAAATTGACCTAAGAAACTGAAAATAATCACCTCAGGAATTGGCTTTTGGAGGACAGACTCCACAGCAACAACCATAGACTGCACAAAATCATCTCCCCCAGTTCCAATTGCCGTAAAACCTCTAACGCCCGGGTACGAGTTCACCTTTCCAATAATCAAGCAAACTATAAGGTGATGGTGAAAAGATAGAGCTATCTTCTACTTATTTCTAATTGCAGCAAAGCCAATACTAGTTTACCTACACACGCAACCATCAAAAGATTTGAAGCAGCCATTCTGTACATAAATTGGAGCTAATGGAGCAACTGTTCCATACCTTTTGATCCAAAGCGATCCACTCATTGGAAGAATCATCAGTCACTGTTCCTCCAAGTACCATATTTGTAGTATGGCCAACCCTCCCTTCTGTCTTGGATACCTCTGCGTCGAGAAACCAAACGAACTCGCAATCAATTATGTCGCGTAGATAAACAAAAGTCGTAGTGAAATATAATCATGAACAAGCAGAAGCTCACACAAGGAATTATACAGACTTGTGTATAAGAAGAGGTGATGCCTGAAATTAATTGATTTATTGCTTACAATTCCAAAGCCTTGGTAGCATAAAGGTCAGGTAGAAACCTGAAATTGCCTTCAAAACAGCCTCCTGAGGAGGGCCCTGGTCGTCCTGATTAGACGACGACGTCGATTGAGTTTCATCGTAGGAGCAAGTCAGAACAGTTCGTTTCGGAAAGAGAAATCCTCGAGCCCTAGTGTTCCACGAAATGCAATACAATCTGTGAGTGAACGTTCGCCTGGTTCCGAGCGAGAAGGAGGAAGAAGCACGGCCAACGAGAACGGGCCGCGATGGCTCCGTTAAGAATATTGTCGCAGAACGCAACACAGTCCGGCTTGCGGCCATTTCTGGTTGTCTATTTTGAATTGACCTTACAGAATAGCTTGCAGTACGCGAAATCAGGAGCAGAGATATTTTTCTTTCCACGGCCCTAATAGATGATGATACGGGGAACCAATTTACATTTCTGGTGGTTTGGGAGAAAAATGGCGGTAAAATTAGTTTTTTTCTATAATTTATTTAATGAGAACTATCATATTAATGGTTATTTGTAATTGCTACATACGTACTTCCTTAATTTTGTGTGTGGTGTAGTGATTTTGACACGCTCACAACAAGCCTTTAAGAGGGAATTTAAGCTCCGTTCACAAATTTTTTCTCGCTTTGTGGCTTTGTCGGACCTTCGACAAGGTTTACCTTCTCCAACTGAACACAACTGATGCGGAATTCAAGCTTATTCAATCACACACGTCATTTGTACATGCATGTTTAATCGTTTGCGACACAATAACGTCACATTGCATCGTCATCTCGATTCCCAACAACATGACACATATATTGTGATTTCATCCCATGTCCCAAGACACATCGACCATCCGGGTTCTCTCAAGCATCAGGCTCTCCTGTGTCCATACTAAACCATTTACGACATATGTTATGGATAGGGGGTGCATAATCTAACTTCTGGCACACGAGCTAATGCACAATACTGACACACCCGTATCTCTAGTACTGTCCTTGAAATACCCTTTTGAAAGAAAGACGCTCGCTCACACATACGTGCCACAAGGTAGCTCGCTTAGGGCACAGGGCCCAAGAGGTGGTGGAGAGCTGACACCATCATGTTTTTCCCTATAGTACATTTTTAGGTATTTTCATTCTTTCTCGAATATACGTTAATTGGCAAGTGAACATACGACTTCGTGCATAGTTCATCGAGTATCCGATTAACACCAAATTTGGTAAGCTTTCATCTTTCATATTGACGAACTTAATTCCCGATCCACATGCTGAAACTCATATTCAGACTTCTGTGGTTATGGTCTGGGGCTCTCTCCGAGCTTGTATTAACAAAGAAAAAAATATACAACATTTTTATTACTTGGAAGAAAAGATTAAAAAAATATAAATAATGTTGAGTATAGGATTTGAAACCACACCCTTTTGTATAACACCATAATTTAGGTTTGCCATCACAACATGAAAGTTAATTTTAAATAGCATGTAATAATTTTATACTTACAAAATAAAAAGAAATAATTATTATTATTTGATACAAAACTACGCTCATTTCTCATAGACCAACCGGCCATATCAACATACATGGAAATGGTTCTCAAAACATTAATTTAATATATTAAAAGAAACTAGAATAAAATAAATGTTGAGAGTGGGATTTGAACCCACGCCCTTTCGGACCAGAACCTTAATCTGGCGCCTTAGACCAACTCGGCCATCTCAACATATGAATAATCTGCAACAAATAAATTATTTGTAGGTTATAATTATCCCCTTTCAAATAAGACAAAGCACCCTAGATTTACTTCGCTGAATTTAAATTTTATTAATAATTATAGACCACATAAAGTTATAATTTACAAAAATTAAATCATCCATTAATTTTGATAAAAAAAAATCGCTACAAATTTCTAATTAAAATAGTATAAAATTTAGAAAATACCAAATACGAAAAAGGTTGTAAAAAACAACCTAATTTTTAAAAGATTGCATTAAAAAAATAATGATAATTAAAAAATAAAGCTGACAAGTTGTAAACTTGAGCAACATTTAAATCTTAAAAAAGAAAAGAAAAATTAATATTCAAATATTCAATTATCTATTTTTTAAATAGAAAAGAAAGTGGGAATAAAATAATAATAAAAAAATAAAATCTGGAGAGAGTGATTTTGAACTAAAATCTACATCCACAAAGCAATAGCGTAGTGAGAGAAGAGAGACAGAGAGGCAAAAGGAAGTCACCCACGCAAAGGCCACCGTCGTGAAATTCCAATTTTACCCCCAACAATTTGCTCTTCGCTCAAAGCCACCAACTGCACCTTCGTCTACGTGTTCCTCCTTCTCACCACTTTTATTTCCCCCATTTCCTTCTTTTCATGTTTTTTTTTTAATTAAATAAATTAAATTAATATCGTCTCGAAAAAAATCTCCAATCCATTCCCCATTTCTTCTTCTTCCATCTCTCATTTCTCTCTCTCTCTCTCTCTCTCTCTCTCTCTCCCTCAACTATGGTTCCGATCGTCCTCACCCAACTCGCCACCGGCCTCAGCGTCCTCGCCGGCGCCGTCCTCGTCAAATCCGTGATGGACAAACCCATGGCCGGCTCCTCCCCCCGCTGCCCCTCCTGCAACGGCACCGGTCGAGTCCCCTGCCTCTGCTCCCGCTGGTCCGACCGCGACATCGGCTGCCGTACCTGCTCTGGCTCCGGCCGCATGTTCTGCAGCAGCTGCGGTGGCTCTGGCACCGGCCGCCCCATCCCCGCCCAAATCTCCGTCCGCCGTACCAATTATCCCCCCTCTTCCTCCTAATTCCCAATTCCCCCCCCCCCCCCCCCCCCCCCCCCCCCCCCCCCCCCCCCCCCCCCCCCCCCCCCCCCCCCCCCCCCCCCCCCCCCCCCCCCCCCCCCCCCCCCCCCCCCCCCCCCCCCCCCCCCCCCCCCCCCCCCCCCCCCCCCCCCCCCCCCNTCCCCCCCCCCCCCCTCCGTCACTACTGTAATATTCTCTCTTCTTACCATTAATTATTAGTTCACACAAACAATAGCGTCTGTAATTTCTCTCTCTCCCTCTCTCTCCGCAAGATTATCACCGGCGATTACAGAGAGAGAGAGAGAGAGAGAGAGAGAGAGAGCTCTGAAAATTAGAGTTGTTGAGATTCACAACGAGCGAGCCATTCGACTCAATTCAGATTCGTATAGAAATCGATACTTTTCTTTATACTAATTTTTAATTCTTTCTTCATTTTCTCTGAATCTGATTTAAACTTCATTAATTTGTTCATTCTCGTTACTTTAATAAATCGGATTAAATTATTTAATATAATTACTGAATGCATTAATACTCCTAAATTTTTAATTTTTTGTCTAATAAATTTAATTAAATAATTAATGAAAAAAATGTTCCTTTCATTTGCAGGAAGAGAGAGTTGAACAACTTGCAGATATAAAATTTGTATTTTATTTATTTATAATTATTAGTTTGACTGATTTAGTTTATTTATTTTATTTTAAATTATTTTTAGACTCTATTTGCTTTTTTCCCAACTTAATTAACTTATTTATTAATCCTAGCTTATACTCCGTTAGTGTAATTTAAAATTGCTCATTGCTAACATATATTATTGCTATCGTTACGTTATCAGCTTTACGATCTTAAAACACATTTGTTAGGAAGAGGTTTCATATCTTTTATAAGGAGTGTTTAGTTTCCCTCTCCAACTAACGTGTATTCTCGCAATCCACCTGCCTAAAGGGCCCAGCATTCTCGCTGTGACACTGTCGGGTGTCTAGCCATAATACCATTTGTAACAACTCAAGTTCCCTGCTAATATATATTGTTAGGTTTGACTCGTTACTTATTGTCGTCAGGCTCACGACGTTTGTTAGGGAGAGGTTTTCATACCATTATACATAATGTTTTGTTCCCCTCTCTAACTCATGTGGGATATCACAATCTACATCCTTAGGGGGCCTAGCTTCCTCGTTGGCACACTGCCGCGTGTCTGATTTTGATACCATTTATAACAATTCAAAGCTCACCGCTAACAGATATTGTCCACTGTTAGCCCGTTACGTATGACCGTCAATCTCATGATTTTAAAACGCGTTTGTTAGGGAGAGTTTCCACACGCTTATAAGGAATGTTTCGTTATCATTTCCAATCGACGTGAGATCTCACATATTCAAAACACCATCATAAGGCTACGACAAAGAGACTTTCAATCGACGTCAACAACGAAGTAATAACATTCATCGCAACGAGATTGAATATTGAATAATTTAAATGAATAACGTAACAAAGAAAGATCAGCGTTCTTGTGAACGGTTAATGCATATAAATATATTAGAACTGGAAATGAGTGTATATCAATTAACGATTTGTTTGATCCACTAGTCAATTGTTATGTTAATGCATACAAAGTCCACATTTAATTATATGATTAAATATTCTAATAATTGGTTAATGCATCTAAACTTCCTTAATTATTTTTATAATCTCATTTTGTACATTAAATTGATAATAATGTCCATTAGACACACACCACATAACAACAAGGATATAAGATGTGATTTAATACAGACATTTTCTCTCACTCCCAATTTCTTCACGTTCCTCACTTGGGTGTGAAAGCCTGCAGAAAACGACAATAATCTCATCAATTTTGTTTCGAATATTTAAATATATAAATATTTATTTATTTTAAAGGTAAAGTTAATTAAAAACTCACGGCGAAGACAGTGGCGTGGCCGGGATCGGCAAGGTGAGCGAAAAGGTTGTCGATGGGACCGGTGCCGGTGTAAATGTGTTGGAACCACGCGCCCATCACCGCCAACATAGCCAGTCGCCCGTTCTTGATCTCTTTCGTTCTCAATTCCTTGATCTTTTCGGGTGACCCGCTACCCCAACCGAGTGGGTCGAACCACAGGCCACCAGGGTACCCGACGTCGGTTCCGGTTAGCTTGTTGTTGGGGAAGATCGGGTCAGTGTTAACGCAACCAGGTTTCAGAATGTCGGCCCACCGTCTACCCTCGGCCCAACCGATGAAAATGAGTTCCACAATGAACAGAGTGGTGGTATCGGTGAAGTATTCCAATTCTCCGGCAGTGTACCACGACGGGGTGTTAAGAATTCCGATCTTCGTCAAGAATTCCGGGATGAAAATCCCGGCGGCGCCCAACATTGCCCACCGGCAGTGCACCAGCTCTGCTTGCTGGTTCCATCTCAAGCTCTCCGGATCAGAAGCTATCAATATTCATACACGCAGACAAACATAGGTATATTCTTTCAATTTAAACTTACGATTATTAAATCCCTAAATTATTAGATGTGTGATTTTCATCGTCCAACAATACTTACAGAGACCAAGTGGATCAAAGCCAAAGTCACCGGGGAGGCTGCCGTCGAGCCATGGGGGAGGGGTGCTGCC